TACCTTCTCAAATTAAGGGTAAATACAGTTAATTTAACTTATTTGTAGATTGTTTTTCCAGTGTAAGGACAATTTAGAGAAGCCAATTAACCTAACAGTCATTTGACTGTGGGAGGAAGCCGGAGTACCTGGAGAGAACCCATGCATGCTCAGGGAGAACATGCAAACTCCATGCAGAAAGACTCCGGGCCGGGAATTGAACCCAGAATCTTCTTGGTTAAAGGCAACAGCGCTACCCAAGGTTCCACCGTCCCGCCCACAAACTACTCATTAATTTCAGAAATTGTTTGTATTTCAGGTCCTTCGGTTGATGCGATGTTGAATTACGGGAAATACCGATCATGGATCCCGGACTGACCTGTGTTTGATGTAGGAGATAAAACTCTCTCAGCCTGTGAATTCAAAAGCTGTTTTCCTTGAATGTAACTCAAAACAAAGGTTTTCCAAAACAAAGCAAAACTGTGTCAGAAGCTCAGAACGTCGGACCCAGAATTCAGACGAGACAGACGGTGATCACCTAAAAGCGGGTTCACTGGATGCGCAGGCAAAGTTCAGTCTGAGCTCAGAAGCAGTGAAGTCTAGAGGGGCGGAACCCTGCCGTTAAAACTGAGCCGGTACCAGTGATTCAGCAGAGAAAAGGAGCAGCAATCAGCAGCAACAAGGGATCCAGGAGGGATTATCCAAGCCGGGGTCAGAAGACGGGTTCAATGTCGGCAACAGGTGAAATCCAGGAAACAGTCCGGAAAAACAGGACAGAGCAGAACAGGGGCGGAAGACTCAGAAGTCCGAGGGCAGAAACAGGTCAGGATCAGGCAGAACTGTACTCACACAGGAACGCTAGAATTAAACTCGCAGGAAGCTCAAATAATCTGGCACCATGGGCTGGAAACTGGTGGAATAAATAGTAGAAGAAACAGGTGGATCAGATAAGAGATAATTAGGCTGGGGTGGAGCCTAATAAAACAGCCTCCAGGCAAAGATCATGACACTTTGAGCTAATATTCAATGGTGCTGCAGCCTTGGTTCAGCCACGCCTGAATAGCGACACGGAGAGGCTGTTTTCCTCAGAACGTCTCCTAGTGGCCTTGTGTGGACTGGGCGCTCTGCAGGTCTGGGGTGTTTGGGATGGCGTTGGACTGGGCCGGCTAGTCGGTGGGACCTTTGCAATCTTCTAGATGGTTATTCTGTTTTGGGGTTCAGTTGTTTGGTCGATCCCTGGTGCCTGTGTCTGTCCTGAAACCTGTGGTTCAGCTGCCATTAGTACTGCTGTGCTCCTTCCCTCTGTGGAGCTCATTGAACTGGGAGCCAAAAGTATTTCCATAGTATGCATGATGTACCCCTGCCCTCTGGTCTAAATGCAAGTTATAACAGCACACATCAACATCTTATTTGAGTAGATGGGCGTAGGCTCGGGGTCCCTCCCCAGCCCATTCTGTTTGCAATCTGACGTTGGGAGGAGGAGTAGGGGATCTGGTCGGGGTCTGGAGTTGGGTTTGCTATTGAGTCCTGTTGGTACCAGGGATTGAGTTTTATGTTGATTATGTGCAATGCCATAAATATTGGTAAGCAGAGTATGCAGTTGTTTAGGGGCCCCCAACCTCTTAGGGGCCCTGTCACTGACACCTGGTGGCCCCCTACACAATTTTGGACTAGAACGTCTCTTTGCAAATGTAATGATGCGAAGAATTCCTCTTAAACCCACCTGATACTATATTGACTGACCGGACTTTATTACTGTTAATAACTATGTATAGTTCATTAGATGGTTGGTAAAAAATACTAGCCTGACGTAGTCCTACTCAATTCTAGTCAGAATGAGTCTGATGCTGCTCCATAGAGCTGTGATTATGAGGCATATTTCGAACGAACCAGGAAAAAAAATGCCTCTGCACTCAATTGGA